GGGGGGGGGGCCTCTCCACTTAACTCCCTCCCACCCAGGATGCTAGCCCCCTGCCTCTGACACAGCTTCTTCCTGCAGAAAAACAAACCTTTGATCTCTACCTGAGAAGCCATGTCCCTTGTGCTGTCTCTTGCCTGTCCCACCTGTGCCCTCCCCTCCAGCTTGTATTTAAGTCCCTGGGCTGCCCCTTGGGGTGCCCTCCCAACTCCCAGGTTCCCCTCTGGTGTCATGTCAGGCATTTTGCAAGGAAAAGCCACTTGGGGAAAGACGGAAAGGACAAAAAATAAATAAATAAATTTCCACTGGCCCTCGGGTGAGCCGAGGGTTTTTGCAAGGAAGTTGTGGTGGCTGAGTGTGGTCTGTGGTGGGAGCTGCCTTTGGGTGGCGGGGAAGGAACTGGAGCCCTGGTCTTGGTGGGCTGCACAGGGGGTCCTGGCTTGGGCTGTGTGTCCTAGGGTTGCTGTTGAAAGGCCTTGACCCATTTCCTGAAACCAGGAGAGCTGCCTGCTTGTGGTTCTATGGTCTGCCCCCACGGGCCCAGCACGGTTCCGGCCGGCCGGGAGGGCGGCTGGCGGCCGTCAGTGAGCACCTGGTGAGCCGCCGCCGCCGCCGCCAACACCCACACAGGCGGGTCCGGGATGGGGAGTTGGGCCGCAGACCTTGTGCCCCGCTCTGTCTGGCCTGCGTCCCCTTCAGCCCCCTGGCTCAGCCCCCTCTCCCGGCTTTTTCTGGGTTCAAGCCAGGTGTCTCTGACCCCTCGGACGGTGACAAGTGCTTTGCACTTAAGACCTCGGTCCGACCTCCGTGGCCGGTAAATGAGGGCAGAGGTACGGGCACCCGTCCGAGTGGGCCGAGTGTGGCAGTGGTGGGCTCGTTGTGTGACGTGGTGGGGGGGTATGCCAGGGATGTGCGTCCATGCTTACGTGTCCCTGAGGTTGGGGCGGGGGTGGCGCCCGGGCCGCGCTGGTGGAGGGGCGCACAAAGACCCAGCCCCGCCCGCCCGAGGCTGCTCGCACGGCGGCCCCGCCCCCGGCTCCGCCCCGCCGGCTTCGCGGGCTGGAGAGCGAGGGACCCGCGGGCGAGGGATCGCAGGATGAGCGATTGGGGCCCGGGCAGCCGGCAGCGGACGCGCCCCCCGAGCCCACCGGCCCGGATCCCGGCCGCGCCGCCCGCGTCCCCCGAGCCCGCGCCCGAGCCCTACGGGCCATGCCCGGCCGGCCCTAAGCGCGGGCCGGGGGGGCGTCCCCTTGCGCCCGGGCCCCGCGCTGGCGCCCCCCGGGCCGCCGCCCGGCGCGGGGGCCATGGCGTTCACCTTCGCCGCGTTCTGCTACATGCTCACCCTGGTGCTGTGCGCCTCTCTCATCTTCTTTGTCATCTGGCACGTAAGGCCGGGCTGGGGCTGAGGCTGGGGCTGGGGTCGGAGTGGGGGCAGGGGGCGCTGGGAGCAGGAGGGGGACGGACGGATGGTCTCAGGGCCCGGAGAAACTTGGTGCCTCCTCTCCGCTATCCCCCATCAGTCGGCTACTGTTCGCCCCATAAACACCCCCCATCATCGGCTTCCTTCCCGGGGCCCCCCCTTTCTCCGCCGCCCCCGACTGTCTGTGGGTATGTCAGTCGGTCTCTGACCGCCCCCCCTCCCCTGCCCCATGGCAGCCTTGGGGTGTGGGACGGAATTCTGGGATTCTTGTTCCTTTCCCTCCTATTTCCCCACCCCCCAACCCCCGCCATCTAGTCGCCCCCGTTTGTCCGTCGGGCAGTTTGTCTGTCTACTCTCCCCACCCCCTTTGTGGGTTTTTCCAGCCAGAGTGATGGAGCCAGTTGCTATGGCAACTGCATCTGTTTACAGGACCCACAGATCGCAGAGCCCATTAACCCTTTCCATTCCCGCCCCCCACCCCCACTCCCTGACCCAGCAGTGATTGGCTCTAAGCAGCCCCAGAGACCTAACCCCGACCACCAGCTCACCTTGGGTTTCCCTACCCCCTCCTGTTCGGGCTTCCCCCTACTAGGTTTCCTCCCCACTTTCCAGCTTTCCTCCTCTTCCTGCCCCCCACTTTCCTCTTTGTCTCCTGTTTCCTTTGGTCTGTCTCTCTCTCCAGCCTTGCCTCACACCTGGTTCTTCAAAACGTCCATTTCTCATCCCTTATCCTGATTGCCTCCCTTTAGAGAGGGTCCCTCTTCCCCACTCTCTGGGGCCTTCTCAGTGGTCCCCTGCCTGTCTCCCTTCTACTCACTACAGAACTATCAATCAGCCTCCAGCTTATTTTTTGGGACCCTTGCCCCCCACCCCCTTTACTGCCCTCTCTTCTCCTATGTACCCTGAGGTTTCAGCCACCACCCTATCCCCTCCACACGGCCTGTGCATCTTGGCCCTGGCCCGCTCAGCTCAGCATCCTCTGCTTGTACGTCCAGCACACACCTCCCTGATCATCGCGTTATCCCCCATCGGTCTCTCTGTACCCGCTTCCTTCCTCTTCCTCCCCATTGCCTCACCTGCTTCTTTCTTGGTCTCCCCACTTCATCACTCCTTTCTTTTCCTGGGACCTGCTGCCTGCCTGCTCCGTGGTCCTCCCTGGCCCTTGATCAGTCTCTCCCTTCATCCTCCCCTGCTGTCACCTTGCTGTCTGTCTCTTTTACATCAGGATTCCATGGACTCTGACTGCGCCCCTTTTGTGTGAGGAGTGAGCCCCCATAGACACCTTCAGACACACACACCCCATCTGCAGCCCTCTCTCTCTTTGGGTCTCTCAGTTGCTTTTTCTTCTCTCTGCCGCCTTCTCTGTTTCTCTTTCC